TTTCTCTCTCTCTCTCTCTCTCTCTCTCTCTCTCTCTCTCTCTCTCAGTGCTCAGAATTAAATCCCATGCACTGATTCCCTAAGCTCCTTCCCCATCCCAAAGATCCGCATCTAACTAGAACATTGAGGGGTTTTGTTTGCAGACAGTGTCAGCCTCTCAGCCTCTCCATGGCTGGCTTTGATTTCACTAAATCACTGGGCCGATCTCAAACATGCAATCTTCCTGCCTCAGCCTCCTGCATGCTGAGACTACAGGCGAGCACCCAGCTTATCCCTGAGGTGCTTCCTTGGGAAGGTGACTGCTCCTGAGGCGGTGGCAGCAGGTGCAGGCAGTGGCCTGAGTGGTGGCAGCCTGGAGGAACTTGAGGGGGTGGGGCAGAGCCAGATGAATGAGGGAGGCTCACAGAAGCAGCGATGAAGAACAGCTTCCCAGCAACTTGGAGATCTGTCAGCTGAATAGAGGACTCAGATATTCCTTCGAGCTTTCCTATGCAACAAAGAATCCCATTCAAAACTCTTTCCTGATTCCGTAATTTCTCATGAACAGGACTGTTGCTATTGCCCTGACGAAGGTGAGCTTCCATCAGAATTTCTATACCATCCAGATATTCATGGCCAACGTGCTGGGTCTGGATAACTGCAAACATTACAAGGAACGACAGACCAAGCTTCAAAACACAGTCAGGAAACTGATGGACGAGAAGTTCTTCTGCCTCCTTAACGACATTTTCCACGTCCAGGTAAGCTGCCCTGGGCTAGAGCCACGAGGCTCCTTCCTGCTTTGCGCCCGGCCTCCCTTTGGCCTTTGTCTTCCTTCTGTCACCTGCAGCACCCAGTGGGGGAGGGGATGTCCCCCATCTTCCTTTGTCCATGCACACAGTCTTGTTTTGCAGGGCTGAGGAGAGAACCTAGCTCCTCACGCACGCTAAGCTCGTGTTCTATCACTGCAGAACATCTCCAGGTGCTGTACTCAGCTCTCTGTCTCTCTCTCTCTCTCGGTCTCTATCTCTCTCTGTCTCTCCCCCTGACTGTTCCTTGCAGTACGTGGGACTGAACCCAAATCTTTTGCGCTGGCTGAATTCCGCAGCACACTTGCCCTGTCATTTTTTTCTTTTGAGATGGGGTCTTGCTAAGTCTCTAAGTTGCCTAACTTGCTCAGTCTTGGCTAGAACTTGTGAACTTCCTGCTCACTCTCCTAGAGTGCTGGGATTCCAAGCATGTGCCAGCACACCTGGCTTTTTCTTTTCTTTTTTTTTTTTGAGACAAAGTCTCACTAAACTCAGGCTATCCTGAAACTCATACCTGCCTCAGCTTTCTGAGGGCTGCAATAACAAACGTGAGCCACTATACCTAGCTAGTATCCACATTCTTGAGACATAGTGGAGGTATCTAGAAATACCCTATTAAGAAAATCCAAATGGCCATCTGCTGATTTATATTTTTCTCACCTTTCCATCAGAGCTATACTATCCTAGCAAGCCTGGGAAGGACATTATGGATTATCTAACATTTGAGGACTTTAAGGCACAAAATGATTAAATGATTGGCTCTGAGTCACAAAACTAGTATTCCCTTTGCTATTTCCCTATACTCAATGTTCCTATAATTCTTCACATAGTTTCCCACTACCCGGGAGATTTCCAGAATGAGCAGCTTGAAAAAGCAAAAGCAAGTGGAAAAACTGTTTATGAAGATCTTAGAGAAGGTAAGCGCCCTGGGTTCCCAGCTGTGGGTAGAGGAAGCTGGGTAAAGGATTGCAAAGCCACCGGCCTGAGGGCTCAGTCCTGGGTGAGACCCCTCGAAAGTGTGTCCTCTTCACTCCCTGCTGCTGAGACGCAGTATCTGACACCAACAATTTAAAGAAGAGGTTGCTTGGCTCATGGTCCTGGGAGGTTCAGGCCATAGCCAGCTGGCTCCAAGGCTTCAGAAAACTCAAGGCAGAGAGCATGGCAGAGAAAAGCTGCTTGGTTCATGGCAGCCAGGAAACCAAGCAAGAGAACAAAGCTGGAGAGGACGGGGTCAGGCGGCAGACACAGCAGCTGAGAGCACATCTCCACGAGCCACCCAGGCACGGCCAGGAGTGCGCTCTGCCGATCAGCTAGGTACCCATCAGCCAAGAAAGGTGACAGATGAGGGCTAATAGTCACATATGTGAGCATGTACTCCAGCATCCCCCATTCTCTTTCTGCTTCCTTCCAAACCCTGAGCTAATAATATGTTCAGAATTTAGATATGCTTGGAAGGAGTCCCTACAGTGACTCCTGGGTCTCGCGCCTCTCTAGCCCTGCACCAGATGGTCTGCATCAGATCTAAGACACCCAAGTAGTTATGGGGCTGCAGGTGTGGCTCCGTGATTGGGGCCCTGGGCTCAATTCCTAGCACTGCAAGCACAAATAAACAAAACAAAAGAACGCTTACTATACAGGGAGACTCTGGCTTTGTGAGCCTGCTTTCTCACCTCTGCGCCCTGCATCTGCTCAGTTACCAAGTGCTATGCCTCTGACCTCAGATAGTCTCTGGCCTCCATGTGTCTTCTGTCATGACCACCATGGTCAAGGTTCTTATCTCTTCCTGGACTATTTGCACAGATTTCCAATTAATCCCTGTTCTCTCCCACTGGAGCTTTGCAAAGCTCTGAAATCATTCTTCATACATAGCACAACCTGCTGCAATTCCTCTTCAGGAGGTGGTGGTCTCTGGGAGTCAGTGAGCCTCCTGCTTATCTTTGTCCCACTATGGATGAACCCAGGACCTGGTGTACAATGAGTGATCAGTGTAAGTTGGTAATACTGTATTAACAATCCAACCTGCTTCTCCCTTTGGATACATAAATGTCAGGCTTTGCAGTGGGCAGTATACATGTCTTTGCAGCAGAGTAGTTGCTTAGCATGCATGAGACCCTGGCTCTAATTCCCAACACAATCAGTCAACCAATCAGTCAGTCAGACCTTGGGCTGCTGCATCACCACGACACCCAGAAGCTTCTTTCAAAATAGAGATGAGTCCCACACCTAGAAGTTAAAAAACTAGGGACCACTGAGTTGTTTGCTTTTGACAAGTTCTCAGTGGGCTCTGGGGCATAGCCCTTTGTGGCAACCACAGCTAAGGCTGTGTTTGACCATGTGCTGTGTCTGCAGCCTTTGGCTGCTAGCTGCCTGTGTGACCCTGGGTGGGTATTGAGCTTCACTGGGTTTTGGTTTCCTCAGCAAACAGACCGAATGCTACTATACCCAGGGATGCCTTAAATGAGGGGAGCAAAGTTCCAAGCACTGCGTGAGGCATAGGACGCACAGTGTTAATGTTAGCCTTTATTCACTTTAGCAAGAGCCCCATTCTATCTCATGATGATTCTAATTACCATCCTCCTCCTCAGCATTAGTGTATGCATGCTTCTGCACGTGTGTGTGTGTGTGTGTGTGTGTGTGTGTGTGTGGTGCTGGGGACTGAACCAAGGGCCTCAAGAATGCAAGTGCTGTACCATGGAGCTGCATCGCAGCCCAACCTTCATTCTTTGTGTTCACCTTTGCACTGAGCTATCTTCCCAGCCTCGGTTTCTTTTTGTTTTTGTTTTTTTGTTTGATTTTGGTTTTGGTTTTTACTTTGCATTCTGAGACAGGGTCTTGCTAAGTCACTCCCTTGCCCAGGCTGGGATAGGGTTCATGGTCCCCTGCCTCAGCCTCCCAGAGTGCTGGGATTATAGGCATGCACTGCCGTGTCTGGTACCGGAGGTTGGAGTACCTTGTACGATGGCCTTATGAAATTTCCAAGTTTGAAATAGGCTGTGATGTTTCTGTTGGTACAAACAGAGGGAAAGATTGGCTATTCCAGATGGAGTCAAACAGGCCGGAGCAGGGAGAAGGGGGGAAGCTCCTTCCCAGGCTGTGAGTCTCCCGTGGGGAAGGCAGAGCCGACCCTAAGAGTGGCCCTAATGGAGGTATAAGCCCACATTTTATTTAAGACCATAACCTCAGTGTCTAGAACTGTGTCTCACCCTTTACAGATGTGCAATAAATGCTTCATGAGTGAATGAATAATTGAGACTAGTAAAGGAAGGGCCGTCGGTGACTGAGAAAGCACACACAATCTGTTGGAGGCATAAGGGAGCCCACAGCTGTGTTCCATAAGCACAGCAGGCCCAGGGCTGGTTCAGGGCCTTCCACACCGGGGCAGGTGCACAGCCTGTAGGTGTCCAGGAAGTGGGAGCTGAGTCCGTGTCAAATAGACCTGCCTGCAACTTCTTTATCCATAGAGTAAAATGACTTGTAGCTGATGTGTCAGGGTTGTTTTTTTTTTTTTTTTTTTTTTTTTTTTAATGGAATGAGCACTTTTTCTTGGCTTTTGTGGGTTTACCTACAACCCTTCTTATCTTCAGAGTAAAACTGAAACGATCCTCAGGGCATCATTTAAAAAATTATTGAGTCCGGGCAGGGTGGCACACGCCTAGAATCCCAGCACTAGGGAGGCACAAATCAGGAGGATCACCATGAGTCTGAGCTGTGTAGTGAGACCCTGCACACACACACACAAATTACTTATTGCTGTGCATGGTGGCACATACCTGTAATCCCAGCACCTGGGAGCCTGAAGTCAGATTACTGCTGAGAGTTTAAGGCCAACCTGGGCTACATAGTGAGTTCAAGACCAGCCTGAACTACATAGTGAGACCCTGTCTCAAAAAAAAATTATTTATGTATTTATGCACTTACTTTTTTTTTTTTTTTTGGTGCTGGAGCGCCAACCCAGGGGCTTGTGCATGCTCAGCTCATGTTGTACCATTTGAGCTACATCTTCAGTATTTTTGTTTCCCTTCCTTCCCCCTTCCTTTCTTAAAACTTTATTGTGACACAAAGGTTTGTTCACATAAAAGTACTCCAGCTAGCTGTCTGAGTGACTAAGGATCCCAGAGAACACAATCTCGGAGAGGAATAGCTTGGACAGGGTAGACACACATGCCTGTGGTACCCGGGCATCCAACCCCGTTGGCCTCAGCGTGTCTCTCTCCGTGTCCCTGCCTCACACAGACAGTGCGAAGCGAAAGGGTTATTCTAATCATCGACGAGGCCCAGTTTGTGGACAAGACCTCCTGGCTGTTCATGGAGAAGCTGATCCAGACGGTGCCTGTCTACATCATCATGGCCCTGTCAACCGGCATCGAAGAGCTCTGTGCCTCCGCCACCAACATCATGAAGAACAGGAACACCACCTATGTCACACTCGGTGCGGTTCAGTCCAAGGACATCCGTAACAAGACCTGCTATGACCTCAACGTAAGCAGCATCTCAAGAGAGTTGGACATGTGAGTAGCCCCGTGGCTTTTCTCTCAAGGACTGTGTTTCTATGGGACTGTCTTGCTTCTGGAAGAAAGATGGCTGGGACAAGGGCTCATTTAAAATAATTCTAAGCATGACCCTGACTCTGTGTGTGTGTGTGTGTGTGTGTGTGTGTGTGTGTGTGTACGTGCATGCACATGCACATGTGTGAACATGTACGGGCAGCTACCAACTCGAGGGACCTATCTCAAAGATACACTGACAGAAGTAACACAAAATTTTATTGGGTATTATTTGTTTTAAAAGGCTGAGCTGAGTGTGGTAGTACATGCCTGTAATCCCAGCACTGAGGAGGCTGAGACAGGAAGATCACAAGTTTAAATTAAGGCCGGCCCACATTACATAGCAAGGCCCTGCCTCCAAAAGCATAAGTTAATTAATTAAAGAATTAATTCTTTTACATCAAGAAATAAACGACTGGAAATAATCCAGTTGTCCATTTTGCAGATGATTTTGATAAACTAAGAGGCATTCACCCAGTGGAGCATTAGATGAGAGTAGAAAGAGAAGAAAGATTTATTGATGAGAAGGATCCACTGTTGAGTGTCATGACCTGGTCTCTGTGCATGACACACTGCCCTGTACCTAAGAAAAGGGTTAAATACATCTGTGTGTAGATGTACATGCATTTGTTTTTTAAAATAAAACATAAGAATGATAAACTAAGAACGAATTAAAAGCATTACCTGTAGGGTGAGGAAGAGAAACAAGGTTGAAGATATACCTTATTTATGTAGTCTTAACTTAAATTTGGAAAGATATAAATGTTTATAGAATTGAAAAGGTAAAATAAAGCCAAATGTAGTGGCATATGCGTGTCATCTCAGCATTCAGGAGACTGAGGCAGGAGGGTCACTATGAGTATGAGGCCAGCCTGGGCTACATTGTGAGACCTTGTCTCAAAAAAAGGAGAGAGAGAGAGAGAGAGAGAGAGAGAGAGAGAGAGAGAGAGAGAGGTGGATGTGGTGGTGCACACCTGTAATCCAGTTACTCAGGAGGATTGCAAGTTTGAGGCCAGCATGAACAAGTTAGAGAGACCCTGTTTCAAAATAAAATAAAAAGGGCCAGGGATGTAGAGCAATTGCTAGAATGTGTAAAGCCCTGGGTTTGATCTCCAGTTAAAAAAAAAGAAATAAAATCCCTAAAACTGAAAAACAAACTGAAAAAACTAGCAATAAGAAGAGATTATTTTCAAAAGATTTAAGGGTCAACTACTTTTCCTTCTCAAAAGCTGTTCCTGCCAGTTGTGGTGGCACAGGACTATAATCTTAACATTCAGGAGGCTGAGGCAGGAGGATTAAGTGTGCCAGGAAAGCCTAGGCTACATAGCAAGTACAATACCTAGACTACATGGGGAGATAGCTCAGGGGCAGAAACATCTGCCTGGCAAACTCAAGGTCCTGAGTTTGATCTCCAGTACTGAAAAAAGAAAAAAAAAAAAAAAAGTAGACTACACAGGTCTCAAGAAGAAGAAAAGAAAGAAGTACAAGATGTTCTTTATGGTAAAGAGGTTGTCTCGTAGGTACCTGGTGGAGGGGAGCTGTGGGATTCCATTTTACTGTGAAGAATTGGTTGCCAACCTTGACCACCACAAGGTGCTCCACTTCCGGCAGATGGATTCTGAGGAGAAGAGTAATGTGACCTGGAACAACATGTTCCGTAAGTCTCACCCGACGCTTTGTCTCTCTCATCATGGGACCCAAGGCCTTCTGTGGAGGAGGTAGCCTGGGGTCTCTCCCACCGACTGCTTCCTGTAGGGTCAGGTGGCAAAGGGAGGCAAGAAACACCCAACCTGGGGTGAACAAAAGAGAAAAAAGAGCACACACAAAAGCACACTCTGGGCCGGGAGACAGGGTAGCTACTGTGAGGAGGCACAGCAGGCTCCTCAGGGGTCTGTGTCCTTATATGCTGTCCACATTTCGTGGGAATCGACGAGAAGGTCTACACATGGGGTCCTGGGAATTATGTGGCGCTGTCCTGGGATCTTGTCATTGACAGGTCCCACTTATTTTCCCAACTGGCTTTGCCATGCCCTGCCTCCCAGCTCAGAAGGACAATGTGTATGTCACCTAGGGAGAAAAACGAGACCATATTTTCCAGAAGTAAAATGACTAGCCCAAACATTCTGGAAGGCTGAGGCAGGAAGTTTCCAAATCTGAGCCCAGCTTGTGTAACTTAATTGACTGAGTGAGCCCCGTATCTCAAAATAAAAAATTAAAATAAAGGGCTGGGGACATGGCTTAGTGTGGAGACCCTGGGTACAATCCACAGTGAGGCAACAAAGCAGAACAATATAAAAACCTGGCCTAAAATGAATGGCCAACCAGGTCCTGTATGGAGGACTCACGGGAAGGCGATGTGTGAGGGGCTCTGTGGCAGATGTTTCTGAATGCAGGGAAGAAGATGAAGAGAGGGCAGGAGGTTGGAGCAATTAGGCCAGCTGAAGTGGGGGATTATAAACTTATAAGCAAATAAACTTTATTTGTTTATTTGTTTATAAACTTTATTTGTTTATTTATAAACAAATAAACTTCTTTGTTTGACACCTTGGCATTTCAAGGGTTGGCAGAACCTCAGGTCCACCACTGGGATAGATGACACAAAAAGAAAACCAGGAACGTCTCTTCCATGCTGTTCCCTGGGCCCCAAGGGTCCGAGCTGACCTGCCTTCTCTCTACCTTCAGTATCTTCGCTTTTTATAGTGCTGGGGTTTATTCTTGAGGCCTTCACACTGAGCTACATCCCCAGCCTTTTCTTTATTTTTTATTTTGAGACAGGGTCGCAGTGAGTCACTGAATTTCCCAAGCTGAACTCAAACTCTCCATCCTTCTGCCTCAGCCTCACAGAGTGCTGTGGTTACAGGCGTGAGGCACTGCATCAGCTGTGTCTTGCGTTTGTTTCAGGCATGTGATGTCCCAGGCAGGGGGAAGCTCGCCTCCTCGCTCTTCCTGGACATGGAGTCTCTTCGTTACTTGGGATTCACATAAGCCAGGGTGCCTTAACCACTGGGAGCACAACACACATTAATATCACTAAATCTGAGGGTCAACATTGAAGTGGGAAGAGATAGACAGTAACTGAGCTGCAGAGCAGACTAAAGCTGCTTGTGGCGCTGGTGGGTAGAAAATCACCATTTGCAGGTGACAAGGGAGATTTCATGAAGGCTGCTTCTCGCTTCCTGAACTGCCTTGTGCCCAGACAGTCCGTGTCTCTCCACAAGCTAAGCCGCAGGCTGGGGCGGCATCTGCTGCTGCCTGTCAGCCTGCATGCGACAACAAGCCTAGAGGGCCAGGCGGTCACCGAGGGAGACATGACAGAGGGATGTCTGAGAGAAGAGTGTGGTGAAAGTAAACTTTTGAGTGTTTGTTGTTTGTTTATTTGTTCAAAGAAAAGGAGACATAAGTTTACTTTTATGGAGAGAAATGTTTTTCTTTCTGGATAATTAGAATTCAAAAAAAACAAAAACCAGTTAGAAAAGGCTTTTCCTGACCAAAGTAGTTTTAAGGATGGGAATGGATCATTAAATAGATAAAGACTGCTATGATGATAGTGTTCAGATGAAATAATCCCATTATTATATTAGCTAATTAATTAAGAGAGGGAAATATGCAAATATAAATGCTGCAGAATAATACTGTTCCTATGTTTTATACATTAATTTGTTTACTCACTCAACAAACATTTATTCTGTGCATGTTACGAGTACTTTTAAATACAATCAAGTGTCCCCCTACTTAAACTCTTCAGTGAGCGCTGCTCCTGCAGGTGAAGCTTGTGGACACCAGCCTGTGAAGATGGGACCTGATGCCACAGGCAGCCCCCGCATCCATGGAATTTTGAGGATTAAGCTTCAGTGTGTGCCTTGGAGGGACAAACCCAGACCACAGCAGTTGGTCTGAAGACAACTGGCGGGACCCCTCGTGCCTCCTTTCCGGAATGCTGTGCTCGGGCCCTGTCCCCCATGGGAACACACCGCTGCGTCAGCCGCACCTTCCCCTTTACGGGTTCTGGGGCTTCTAAGGCATCTCTTCGTCCTTCAAGGAGCGATCAAGCACATCCCCGTCCTCCCGAGGAGCCTCAGAACCCTCCAGGTGGTTCTCGGTTCCTGCGACTGTTGAGCTAGGAGCCCTTCTTCTTGCTTCACGGCCAAATACTCAAACATCTGTCCTCAGGGCTCTGAGCACCCAGAGGGCTGGCAGCTGTGTGGTGTGTGGTGACAGCCTTCACCAGGTGTGAGGCAAGCTGCCTGGCACGTAGCGTCGGTGCCCTCGTGGGACCCTAGGGCACTGCCCAGTCATCCTGCTCTTTGCATGACTTATCTCTCCAGGAGATGAGAAACTCGGCTACTTTGATACTTCTACCCCTCCCCCATAGCATGGCTGCCAAATATCACATGAGTGACGAAAGGGACAAATAAATAATACCTCTTGGAGTGCTAGCACACCATATTACTGGGCATGTTCACTTTTCAAACCTCACCTTTTTGGTTTTTATTTTGAGGCAGTCTCACTGTGTAGTCTAGGTTGGCCTTGAGCTTGTGGCAATCTTCCTGCCTATGCACCACCATGCCCAGCTCAAAGGTCACCATAGCAAATCTGTCTCTGGGCATAGCCATGTGCTACTTGGAGCTCAGACACCCACACAATGTGTTTGTCGTAGGCATGTGACCAGACACCAATTTTTGAAGCCCAGATGACTCCTTTTTCTCTCTCAGAATTGTGAAGCCAATAACAAGGCTGAGCACTGATTGAGTGGCCAGGAGTTATTCTCAACCAAAAAGACAAATATGCTTATCAGTTCATTTCATCGGGGCTGAGAGGTCATAAATATGAGGATTAAAAAATGAGGGGACCTGGGGTGATGCATGCTTATAATCCTAGCTATTCCAGAGGTGGAGGGCAGAGGATTGCAAGTTAAAAAAAAAAAAAATTGGCAGGAGGTGCTTGAGATAGGGTCTCACTAAGTAGTTGAAGCTGGCCTCAAACTCACTATATAGCACAGGCTGGCCTCAAACTTCTGGTGATCTTTCTGCCTCAGCATCCAAAATGCTGGGATTGCAGTCATGCTCCACCATGCCCAGTGTCAAAATTAAAATTTTTAAAAAAGGGCTGGGAGTGTAGGTCAATGGGGGGATACTTGCCTGGTTTGTCTGAGAGCCTATGGGTTCAATTCTCAGTAATATAAAAATAGAAGGGGACTGATAGGGTAATAAAGAGGAAGCACATTCCTGTCTTTTCCTGGAAAGGAATGGAGGTTTTCAGAAATCCTGGTAGCACCTCATTTTGGTGATTTGATGGTGGTTTCTGGTTATTGTCATCAAAGCTATCCACTGTCACAGCACTGGGGCCCGCTGGGAGTCATCATTTAGCATCCAGATGTAACCATAATAAAGTTAGAGTCTTCTTTGTGGCCACTCTAGCAGCACCTCAGTTCCAACCAGGCATGGCCAGCCCCTCTGAAGGCAGACCTCTGGCCTTTAGACATCCAGTTCTCGAACATAAGCAAGGTTAGGGTGGGAGAGACAACCCTGAGTCATCTATGAGGTGCAGTACTCTCCTGACATCCAATCAAGTTCCATTCCAGGAGGACATTCCTAAGTCTGACAAAATAGATCATACGCACCTTCGATATAAACATAAAAAAAAAAAACTACACCTCCACATCACTGCTGCATTTTCCTCTTGCTTCCCAACCTCCTGGGCCCTGAACACTGTACCACGGTACACTATCGCATTGCACAGTGAGCTCCCAGCCACACAACTCTGACAGTCCAGCAGACACATGAGCTACTTCCACAACTTGTTCCCATCTGTAATGTGAGGTCCCCTCCAATCTGTGAAAGTTTGTAAGTTGAGGACTAGCTGTACATGACCAGGGCAACAGAGTGACAAGTCTTCATCCAAGTGTGAGTTACTGAACGTTATGAGATACAGCCTAAGTGGACCAAAAATTTAATTTTTGCCCAGCAGTATGCACTCTGAAAGACACCAATAGTACCGACTCTTGTTTTGGGGTGGGGGCTGGGGAAAGACAAGCATTTTTCAGTACATTTGATTTTCATCAGTTTTACTTAAAACAAGGTATTCTGGAATATTTGGTGAGCCAACACACCTCTGGTCACTTTCTCACAACAGACTCACTTTGATGTTTATTAGAAAATCAGGCTTTTAAAGACAAACATGATAACTTGTAATCTTTCTTGCCTTTGATCTCCACACAGGGAGTTTTATTAAGCCAACAGAAGAATTAAAAATATTTTTTAATGCACAGGAGGGAAATGATGTAGTCTGCAACCTTGCTAGCGGGGTCAGACTGAAGAATTTATCACTCCCAACGTCATTAAAAGGTAAAGAAAATCTGAAAAGTTTGACCTGGTGTATTGATTTTTCTTCTTGGATCCACTTTGCTTTCTCTAGCGTGGCTCACCAAAGGAGAAAGGTCGAGTCACGGGCTCTCTGGTGCTGCTGCCCCAGGTACTAGGAGGGTGTCACCCGAGGCGGGTTCTCCTCATCCTAATTAGGGTCCTCTCTCCCCTGTACCTGTTCTGGGGTCCAATTTGAACCAAAGTTTATTCTGTCGGTAAAAGAATGAGGTGTAGCACATTTCTGATGAAACAGGAACCAAGATGCGGGTGCAGGGGAAACCATACAAATGAAATACAGTACCAAGACATTTTCTGCCATCTACTCTTATAAGAAAGAAATTATAAACCAGAGATGGATTATCATACTTGGAGAGAAAAATGATTTTAAGCCTCTCTAGTGTGCTTCCAGCCTCAACCCACGCCGGCCAGAAGTAACTTTAAACATTTATAGCAGTGGCCAGGGACCAGCTGATGGCTGTGCAGCTTGAAATGAGTGTTGCTGCCTTTTTATCCACTGCCCTCCGCAGTTGGGATGTGCACAAGCTTAGCTTCTACTGTGCTCTTTGGACTTGTGAAGTTGATTTTTTGTTTGTTTGTTTGTTTGTTTGTTTGTTTGTCTGTAGCAAAAGGACATCGTTGTCAGGACATCTGGGAAGCCACTGGAACTCTGATGCTGAAACTTTCTTGTTTTTGTTTTTAGCATCCTGGGGACTGAACCCAAGGTCTCCATGCTGGGCTACATAGACACCCAGCTCTTCTTTATTTTTTATTTTGAGACAGGGTCTCATGGTGTCATTAGGATACCCAATCAGAGCTTGAACTTGTGATCCTCCTGCCTCAGCCTCCCAGAGTGCAAGCATTACAGGTGTGCACCACCAAATCAGGCTTGATATTGAAACTGATGAGGTATCGGGAAGGTGGTCATGAATTCTGTGGCACTTGCTTATTCAATTGAGAAATAATTATGTCATGGCATTGAATGGATCCTTGAGGCAGATAGAGAAGAACCTCAGTACTGAGGATTGCTGGGAAAAGCCAAGCCAGTGAAGAAGCTAGAGAGGCCCAGCTGCAGGATCAGAAAGGAACAGGGGTAGCAGATGGGGGCCGGTGTAGCTGTGCACACTGGTAATCCCAGAATTTAGTGGCTGAGACAAGGCAGTCACCTCGATTTCAAGACCAGCCTGGCTTACGTAGTGAGATCCTCTCTCAAACCAAACCAACACACAAAAAATAGGATAGCAGACAATTTAGATATAGAATCAAAGCCCAAAACTTCTGGTGTTTAGAAGGAACTTGGGTCGTGGACGCTGTAGGTATCAGCTGGCTCATCTGCCGATGGGCTCAGCGCTGAGTGTGCTGTGAGGAAGTGGGGCCTGGTGGGAGGGGGTCACTGGGGGTGTGGCCCGAACGGTGACTTCCTGCGCCGTGCTCCTCTGCACTGTTGGCTTCCTGAAGGCTCTGGGTGGAGCAGCACTCCTGGGTGGAGCAGCTCTCCACTACCACACTGTTTGCCATGCCACTTCCGCCCTGGAGCCAGAGGACCATGGACCAAGCCCTCTGAGACCATGAAACAAAACAGACCCCTTCTCCTTGAGGTTGTGGGTATCGGCTATTATGTCTCATCTGTGGGAAGATGACTAAGACAGTGGGCCTGACATGGCCTTTCCTCTCCTCCCATATCCTTGTCACATTCTGCCTCTGTGTGTGTGTGTGTGTGTGTGTGTGTGTGTGTGTGTGTGTGTGTCTGGGAAACAAACCCAGGGCTTTCACAATGATGTACATTCCCAGTCCTTTTTAATTTTAAGACGGGGTCTTAGAGGCATGTGGCTCATGGCCAGCCCCTTGTCACACTTTAACACGAAATCTCAGTGCCTTTTAAACCAATCTCACCCCTGTCCTGTGTATTTCCAGACCATGGCCTATGCATCTGCTGTAGTCCTGGCATGAGCAATGTCTGTGAGGGAGGCCCACGGAGGGTTTGGTTGTGGTGAGCACCCATAACTGGGTCGCTGCGTGTGGTCCCCCCACAGAGGTCTCCCTGATCCAGCTGGACAGCATGAGTCTCTCGCACCAGATGCTGGTGCGGTGCGCGGCCATCACGGGCCTCACCTGCACCACGGATCTGCTGTTCGAGATCCTGCCTTGCTGGGACATGAAGATGATCATCGAGGCCCTGACCACACTGGTGGAAGAGAACATCTTTGACTGCTTCCTGACTGGCAAGGACCTCCGCCTGGCCCAGCAGCAGGACGCCTCCTTCGAGGTGCATCACCGCTCCTCTTCCCTGCAGGCCAATGAAGGGACGGGTGAGTAGCTCCCAGAGGTGAGCCCAGGCGCTGTGGGGTGTGAGGCAGCCCGAGCTTACCAGGTGCCCACTGCCTGGCTGCCCAGCTCTATCTGTTCCCTCCAGAGGACAAGGACAAAGACAAAGACGAAGAGTTCCAGGAGCTGCGCAACGAGGTGTTGCAGTGCCACATCATCCGATTCTGTAGGCCCATGATGCAGAAAATCGCCTACGAACTATGGCTCAAGGATGAGAAGAAAGCCATGCACTTGAAATGCGCCCACTTCCTGGAGGAAAGCGCCCACAGATGCGACCGCTGCAGGGGCACTGACTTCGTTCCCTACCACCACTTCGCGGTGGATGTTTGGCTCAACAAACTAGACATGAGCACCATGAAGAAGCTGGCTAAATCCCACAGTCCTCAATGTAAACTCTGGCTTCCTAAGGAACCATGACTTTTCCCAGGGGCTCAGAGCCTAGGAGTGGGTCTGGACCCCAAGGGCCCGGGCACAAAGCATCCCAGACATAGGCATCACAGGCCCCAGGGGCAAGGAGGGCCTGGCAGGTGCCTGCCAGTCAGTATGGATCCAGTCTCACTGTGATGCTGGAGGGAGGGAGGGCTTGAAGGGCAAGGGGCTCTGGCTGAGGGGAGTGGGGCCAGGCAAGGCCACAGAGCACAGGCTCACAGCAGGGGATGGGACCCTGGGGACTGGAAAGGGGAGCAATGTCCGGCTTAGAGGAACAGGAAAGTTCTGGCATTGGGGGTTGATGGTAAAATGGGTCCCAGGGCAAAAAGCATATATGTGGGAGAGAATTAGCCAGGGCTGGGAGAGCCTTGCTTTATTTGGGGAAATGTAGTAAGCTGGAACCTGTGAGACAGGCCAGTCTCAGCAGCTGACCTTGGGCAGGCTGGCGGGAGTCATGAAAGTTATTTTTGGGTCTTGCCACAGGCCTTGGCAGCCTAGCTCAGGGCACACAGGACAAGATGCCTCTGAGTGCAGGGTCCTACAGTTGTCCCGAGTGGAATTTTCCATTTGTTCAAGGCTGTCCACTGGACAAACCTGAAGTAAAGGTTTAAATAAGCAAGTAAAAGAGGCCAAGTGTGGTGGTGCATGCCTGTAATCCCAGCACTGGGAGTGCTGAGTCAGGAGGACCACTGTGAGTCCAAGGTCAGCCTAGCCTCCATCATGTGACCTGTCACACACACACACACACACACACACACACACACACACACTCTAAAAGCTAAAAGCTTTATCATAAAATACTAATTGCATGATCAACTGCCTTACTTCACCTTTAGCAGTTCTCAGAGGCAAACATTTTTAATTAGGTGATCTCTAGGCATTACTTCCATGTACTAACCGGCATGTAAGTACTGCTTTGTTTCAGATTCTCTTTTTTTTTTTGGCTGTATTGGGTCTCCTGTATGCTAGGCAACAGCTCTGCAATGGACCTACATTCTTAGACACTCCCTCCCTGTTTTTAAACATACTTTCCATGTTGCCCAGGCTGGCCTTGAACCTGTGATCCTTCTGCTTCAGCCTCCCAAAGAGCTGGGATTAACAACATGTAAAAATCAAATTTTTCCACTGTCTGTTTCCCTCTTGCTGTGTAGATGAGGACATCACTCTGTGATGCCATTCCTTAGTGCTTCTCCCTCTATCTATGTATTCTTCTTCATGTCTTCTCTCATTGTTGAGACAAAATACCCAACACCTAGAATTAAGGAATGAAAGGTTTATTTAGCTCACAGTTAGTGGAGGTTTCAGTTCACACTCAGCTGGCTCCAAGGCAGAGTGGCTCATGGTACAGCACAGCCGTTGCTGGCGGCCGCAAAGAGCAAAAGAGCAAGGGGAGAAGCAGCAGCTGTGGCAGCTAGCTAGCCTCTCTCCCCTCCTCAAATTGTAATGCAGATTGCTTGCTCCAGAGTAGGTGCAGCCCTCACACCTGCAATCCCAGCACTGGATCAAGAATCAACCACCAACTCCAGAAGCTGCCCCCTGATTGCGTGAGGCTTTTGGGGCACAACCAGACACAAACCATAACACCCCTCGTGCTTCCTTGAGACAGGGTCTCACTATCCTTCCAGGCTGACGTTGAACTCCTTGGGTTATGGGAGAGCCTCCTGCTTCAGGTTTTTGAGCATCTAGGCCTACAGAAATGGGCTGGCATGCCCAGCTTCTCCCTATATTATTAGCAATGTCTTTACATTAGTAAGACTACATAAATTAACAGCAATTCTCCACTTTCTTTAGCTTTTGGGGGGTATTTCATTTAAATGTCTCTATTTTCCCACTAGAAACTGGTGTCACTTTCCTCAGGATTGCTAAATGCTGTTATAGTTACTGCAGCGTTAATGAGTGAGGAGAATGTTATCAACTCTGGCATTTTAGTGGCTTGTCACAAGGGAGTGACAGTTTATTTCCTGCTCCAGTGAAGATGCAGGGAAAGTGTGGACAGACAGTCTTTTGTAGGTAGCCAGGGACTTGGTTCCTCCAGCCTGTGGCTTTGCGACCCTGTAGATCCTCTGAATTAATTGCTTTCCTGTGGAAGAGGAAGGGGAGTGAGGACACAGAGCCATCTCAATTTAGAGGTGACATCTTGTGCCTCTATTCTGTAAGGTGGAAAGTGGAGACTGCCACTTTTGGTCGTTGGTAGGCAGGATAACCCCATACAGTAAAAAAGGAACAGGGACCCTCTCCCCCAGGGGGAATACCACCAGGACCTACATAACTCATTTGTTTATTTGTCCTCTAGCTAAAGAAGAGATCCCTGCTTCTAAGCCAGAACTCTGTGAGAAAGCTGAGCTGTTTCCTGCAGACCTCAAGTATGGGCACACGTGTGGGGGGACAGAGCGCGTGCAGCTGTCATGAGTCACTGCTCGGCCCTTTTGGGCTCTCAGCTGCAGTGGGGAAGTGCAGGGTGGGTTTGGGCAGTGGTGTCTACATTTGGCCTTACACTCCTGCTCTTATTAGTTTTGAAAGATGTTTTCATATGAGAAGCCATGCCACAGCTCTCATTTGTCTTTATTGGTCCCTGCATTTGCACAGCCCTGAGGAAATAAAGGACAAGATCTTGGAGTTCTTTGACAACATGATAACCAAAATGAATGAGGAGGCGGAGAGGCTGCTCCCCCAGAAGCCCTGCCAGTGTGAGGAGATCCTCACCATTGTCATCCTGCCTCTGGCCCAGCACTTCGTGGCTCTGAATGAAGACCACAGAGCCCTGTACTACTTCCTAGAGATCACATCAGCCTATCTCCTCCTGGGCGACAACTACATGGTGAGCTGTCCTTCCCCAGCCCTCTCCTGCCTAGGACCGTTTACGGACCACAGAACTGGAAGGCCAGTGCCGGGTGCCTTTTGATTACTTTGTGTTCCCAAGTCCTGCCAACACCCCCTTCCTTTAAAAACCACATTGCTGACCAGGTCTGGTGGTACATGCCAATAATCCCAGCACTCGGATGCCAAGGTGGAAGAATCACCCTGCGTTTGAGGCCAGCCTGAACTACATAGAAAGACAATGATGATACATTGTGCCAACCTAAGAAGTTTAAAGATTTAAGTAAGCCACTCAGCAGGGAGTCAGGGTCCTTAATGAGTAAAAGTCCTGAGCTTGTGGCTCAGGAGGGCTTGGAAATGGTGTGGGACAGACATAGCCAGTATATAGTAGAAGGAAGGGAAAGAGGCTTGCCCTTCCCGCCTTTTTGCTCCTGCTGCTTTTGCCGTCTTCTGCTGCTTTGAAGCCCTGCCCCTGTGCCACACCACTCTGCCTTGGAGCCAGCTGAGGATAGACTGAAACCTCCGCAGACTGTGAGCTAAATCTTTCCTTCCTTAATTTTGGGTGTTGGGTACTTTTGTCTCAGCAATGAGAGAAAAGTAACGAACACAGACCCCATCACAAAAATAAAGACATAATGGGGCTGGGGAAGTGGCTCAGTGCTAGGATTCTTGACTTGCATGTACAGGGCCCTGGGTTTGAGCCCCAGCACCACAAAAATCAATCCATCAGTCAATCAAAGAAAAGTACATTGCCCATACAGGAAAGGATAAACAGTGAGAAAAGAGTATCAGAACACATTGCAGCAAGCACCATATATCATTTAACAGACACCACCATTAGAGCTTTGCCACGAGCCATCCACCTGTACAGGAAGCGTCCTACCTCATTCTGAAAGTGTCACAGAGAGGACTCTGCAGCAGTGCTTCAGTGGCAGCACAGCCATCCTCACTGACATCCCAGGGGCTTTTGCCCTGTGGCCCCAAAATACCTTTGAGCATAAAATACCTGAAGATCTTCCAAGAGCTACACATCTGGCTTGATCAGGCACATTCCCCCAGGGGCTCACCCACTTTCATTGTCATGCAATTTGCTTCCTCTTGTGACAGTGTAAGGAAGGTCTCTCGGGGTCACATGCCCCTAAGCAGGGGAAGATTTCATACATTTAAAGGAATAAAAACAATAACTGTCAGCACTGAGCTGGCAGCACTGAGCTGAATGGGATAACGTCAGATGGACCTAGCCCTGGAGGTTCTAACCTACACCAGTGTCTCCCAGGAGACAGAGAAAGGGAAGGGTCAGGCCAGGGCTGAAATAAAGCATGTTTCACAAACGTACTTGACCTTAAATCACTTTTACAAAGTAGCACTAAATTCCAGGAAGTACTTGAGGAAACGCCTGCCTCTCCGAGTTCTCTTCTGCTAACTCTAGCCAGTGTCACACGCCAGCTGGCCATGTCTGTGCCTTGGCCACATCCCAGGAGTGGTGCCTGTGTTACAGCTGTCACTACACACAGCAGAATCATGTGCCTTTATACCTTCGATTTACATAAAATATAAAAATCATTCTCATGCAAAACTGTAATCCCAGCACATGGGAGACTGAGACAGGAAGATCATGAGTTCAAGGCCAACCTAGGCAGCTTAATGAGAGCCTGGCCTCCACCCCCACAAAAAAAAAAAAAAAAAAAAAAAAATTGCTGGTATGTAGCTCAGTGCAAAGGCCATGGGTTCAATTTCCCCATACCAAAAAAAAAAAAGTTTTAAAAACTTTTTAATATGTCACTCAGCCTTTGGCTTTTATTCTCCCAAATCTCTGTGTACATAATGCACATAGATACAGCCTAGTGATGGTGACATGGCCAATGAGGGTTAGGATAGAGAAATTGAGGTAGCCCTGGAAGCCAACTTTCTAAATCCTGTGCATACCCACTCCACCTCAGCCTACACAGCGCCGGCAACTTCAGGTGGACAGTAACTCAGAGCACAGCCCAGTGCCATATCCCACACCCCGTCACTTGTTCTTGTGCCCCACTAGTGGAAATCTGACTGGACTGGGTGAGGCCAGCACATTATGCCTTCCCTTCCTGTCTCCACCATGGCTACAGGAGACTAGGAGCTATGGCCTCACTTTAATTTTAACCAAGTCTCATCTTGCACTGTTGTTCACTGCCAAGATTCATCGGTCAATGGTTGAAGTGAAGAGAGCCACTGCGTAACTTAGCTCTTCATTGCAGGGATCAAATACTCAGCATGCACAACTAGAAAGAGGAAGGGTTTCTTTTTACTCATAGTTTCAGGGCATTCAGTCCTTGGTCAGCTGGCTCCAAGAAAGGGACATCAAGGTAGAAGCTCATAGTAGAAGAAAGCTGGAAAGCTGCTCAAGTGATGGCTGCCAGGAGGCAGAGCAAAGGAACAGTGCCAAAGAAGGGGACCAGGGGTCAAAAACAGTCCCAAGGTCATGTCCCCATGGCTCAGCCAGGCACACCCTGGAGTGTGCTCTGCTGATCCAATAGGCAGCTCCCAAGCCAGTCCAGGTGACAGTGCAGCTTAACTGTCAGTTTCTTGGAGTCTCACCTTCCTCTTCTGCCTCCCAAAGATGTCTCTGGAGAAGGAAGTGGGGGTGCCTCCTAACTCATCCCAAAGTGGAGGCCTGCTTCTCATGGATGTGGGGATGCTATCAGGGCAGTGGGTGCCTGTTGGAGATGCAAGGTTGGGGATGAAATTACTGAGAGGAGGAAGTTTCCCAGGGGAAATTCTGGGAAGGCAACTTCTGTGACAGTGCACAGAGAAGTGGGAATTGTAGACTCATCCTCTTGATGGTGTGATTCAGAAGATGGGGGTCACACACAGTCAGGAGCTGCCCCCCTCCTGCTCCTTCCTGGAGCTTGCAGGCCCTTTCTGATCAACAGAGCTGATAGATGGAGAGGTGGAACCTGAAGCTGGCTCCTGCTTCCCTTCCTTCAGTAGAGCCTGGGTCTGCTGCCCTCTGTAGCCTGGATCCCTGCCAACTCAACACTTCTCCTCTCCGGATTGCAGGCATATGTGCATTTGAATGAGGGACACAGGCTGTTAAAAATGCTGAAGAAGAAGAAATCTTGGAATGAGACTTTTGAGTTGGCTACTTTTTATACCCTCAAAGGTCAGGTAAGAAACCATGAAAGACATGACATGAATTAGCTGGCCACTTGGCAACTCAGTGAGACTGCACCTCCACCCCCACAAAAAGAATAAAAAGGACTGGGATGCACTTGATGCAAAGGCCCTGGGTTCAGTCAGTCCCCAGTACTGGAACAATAAAAAGGCACCAATGAGTCTGTTATTTGCCTTGGACTTGTCTCTAGAAGTTGCCCATATGCTTTCTATAGTTTTCTCCCGGCCCCCGCCATTCCTCCCCAAGACTCCAAGGACCCCAAGGTGCTGGACCCAAACCCCCTCACTGTTGCCTTCCAGCTCCTAGATCTTCCCTGTCCTCTGGCCTGACAGCTTCCTGACATACACTTGTCACAACCTCTAGAAACAAACACGAACAAGCCTACCTTTCCTTGGAGACAGGTGCCGCACACATGTGAAGCCTCAGCCTGGCCTTCCTTATGCAGCCCCCCCACACCTGTCGTGTCCAGCACAGAGGCTTCTCTTTCTGGGCCACAGATGAGCTTTTTGGACAAGAAACCTCACAGTCATGCTTGTTGGAATCTGCCAGCTGTGTCCAGATTTCTTATATTTGCTCTTTCTCTCTCTTCTTTTCCTTTCTCCCTGCAGGTGTGCTATAACATGGGCCAGATGGTGCTGGCCAAGAGGACTCTGAGGAAGGCACTGAGGTTTCTCAAGTGTGTCTTTCCTCGCAACTTACCCTCCATACTTGTCCATGATCACCTGGAGAAGAAGAAACACTCCCATTATTTGAATCAGCAGGTCCAAGCCAGCCAGCCACCAGGGTAAGAGAAGAAACTGGGGAGAGGGGAGGGTCTCACTCTCTTTGTGGTGCAAGCAGCCCCCAGAAACAAGGCCTTCTGGTAACTACACTTAACATCAGAATGTCTATGGTCCTGCCAGGCCTGGTGGCACTTGTCTCTAATCCTAGCACTTGCGAGGCTGAGGCAGGAGCGTTGTCATGCATGTGAGGCCAGCCTGGGCTACATAGTGAGTTCAAGGCCTGCTTGCACTACAAAGTGAGGCCCTGTCTCAAAAAGAAAGAGAAGAATGTCTGTAGTCCTCATAAATGATCTATACTGAAGAGATTTTATGCTATCCATATGTTCTTAGAGCCTTGCAAATTTCCCCTACAGAGCCACTGTGATTTTTGTCTACATGGAAAGTGCTTAGAATTCTTTAGCATTTCTGCTTTCTTCCCTTCTCATCTTGATTTGAAATCTGTCTTTTCTGATTCTTCTGGGTTTCTTTGGTTGAGTGCTTTCTAGTACTATGGAAGTTCTATCTGCTGCACATACCAAGAGGTTTTGCCACTTTGACAGTTGAGCACACAAGCACCCTTTGGAGAAGGCCCAGGCCCTTCCCTTCCACACCTCCTCCAGTGAAATCTCCCCATTTCCTTTGGGAAGAGGGGACTTGCCTCTGATGGAGCTGAGCAAAGCTGGATATGATGCACTGGGCTGGCTGGACTAGAGATGGATGGGGTTTAGGTCCTGCCACTACTGCCTTCTAACTGTGTGACCTGGACTTAGTCACTGAACCTGTCTGAGTTTCACCTTCCTCCTCTGTACAACGGGCTCACTATGGCTTCTTTCCCGATAGGATTGCCATCAGCCTCAACATGGTGCATGACAGAGGTGTGTTTTGACTGGGGAGATAGCTCAGTGGTCTAAGTGTCTACCTGGCAAACACAAGCACCCAAGCTCAATCCCTGGTACTGCATGCCATGCTGCCCCTGGAAACCTGGGCACGCTGAGCTATGTAGCAAGACCCTGTATCAACAAATTAAATAAAATATTTTTTAAACACTAGCTTCATTTAATTAGTGATTATCTAACCCAGGTGCTTTATCTGCATTATCTTAAACACCACTGGACTTTCATGGCTGCCATTCTCTACCGGAGGACATCTGCTTCCTAACTACAATCGCTCTTGTTTTTTTGTTTGTTTGTTTTGTTTTTGTTTTTTACAATCGCTCTTGTTAACCTGGGGCAGGCTCACACTCCAGGCAGGCCCGAGGCCCACCCAAGCCCCAGCCCAAGCTCCAGCCCAAGCCCACACCCTGCAGCCCTACCCCTGAGGCTGAGCCCACCCTTTCCCGGTGTTCCTTTTGTTCTTTCTCCAATAGAAAAGAGAGGCTGGCAGAACTTTACCAGCAGGTGGCGTGCTTCTCTTTGCTGTCGAAGATCTACAGCCTCAACGATCACTTTTACCACAAGTATTACGCCCACCCAACAGCCCTGATGCAAGTGAACACTGCCCTGGAGACACAAAATGATTTCGAGGTAGGGTGCTTCAGTAGCTGCTCTTTACGTTTCTGAATCTCGTTTGGAAAGAAAATCCTGGCGAAACCCAAATGGGATTCAAAGCCATGAGGATATGAAAAGAAAAAGAAGCGGACTAGAGCATTTTGCCAGCAGGCCTCAAATATTTCGGCCCCTAGCCAGGCACACTGGTGCTCGTCTGTAATTCCAGTACTCCAGAGTGTGAGACAGGGAGATTTCTATGTATGTGAGGTCAACCTGGACTACACAGTGAGACTTTGTCTCAAAAATCTAAAACAGGGCCGAACAAATAGCTCAGCAGATTAAAGCGCCTGCAA